ACGTGTCCAGCGCTCATTTCTGTACAAGAAATTGAAAAAATGAAATTGACGAAATTGTTGGGACTTGAATGGGAACATTCAGAACGCAATTTATAAACACTGACATAAACATCGCATCGGATGGAAGCAAGTAAGTCAATCATGACTAGCAAACAAAAATGTTTATATCTCAGAAACGGTTGATCTTTGGACCTATCTTTACTAAAGCTGTTTTACTCAGTACAGTGTGCCCTATACACCATATAAATATTGAATGCTTTTTTTTGAACACCCTGTATAAGAACCTAAACAGCTCAGTAACCTCTTTTAGAAACTCAACTCTCGCCACTTGTCCGCAAAGGGTTAAACGTAGAATCCAGTTTGGAATGCTGCAGCGTGTTAGACTTCCCTTGTGCAGTAATTATGAGACTGTATCTCTAGCTGTTCCTTATAGCGACTATAGGAGCAGTGCAGTAGGCCCTAGTGACTCTGAGAAAGAATGTCCAAGCAGCAGAAGGGACTCGGACACTCCACACATACCAACTGCGCCGAGACTAGGTATCACTGCACCTAGTGGAGATAGCGAGAGTGGTGGCAGCCATTCTCCATCTCCCCGTGCTTCGCGGAGACGGCAGGTAAAGTTGATAAAAATAACCCAAATCAAGCTATTCTTTATATTAACCCTTTGTGTGCCGAGGAGCATTCATTAAAAAATTTATTTACAAATAAAATAAAAGTTTTTGTGAAAGTATATTCTTTATACAAATTTATTTTTTGGTAAATCTATAACGTTTTATTTTTATTTTTTTTTTAGTAATGAAGGAAGTCTAACATGTTTTTAGTATCGTGTAAAAATTTCGCGAACCTTGAAATAAAGTTGACTGAGATATACATGTGAGTTGGTTCTTCGTGTAGTAAAACTTCAAACCAATGTTCCTATGAAATTTATTTACATTAGGTTATGATACTAACATGAAATATACAATGAAATGATATTACCTATGAAATTGGTTCTTGAAGTCATTAATTACGTCAGGAACGAACTAAATATAAAATTATCAATAAAAGAATATAGGAAAATCAAAATTTACAAAATATACACAAACGACTTTTATCCCCTGAATCTGCTCTCTCGCTCGTGACGTACCTCCCACGGCTACCAACCCTACGCCTCACACGGCTATTAACCATACGCCACACACGGACCCTAACTAAACGGGAAACCAACTTTTCATTTACATACATACATTTCTGTTTACAATCATGCATCTATGCTTAAAATTATTTGGCATTTCGCGTATATCTATGAAAATTTCCTCTGGCACTCAAAGGGTTAAGGGAGAGATAGATAGATATCTTTATAGAAGATATACTTAGGTAATAAAATGAGGAATTGTTAGGAGGTGTTAAAACCGAGTTTGTAATATCGCGTTTTTAACATGCAACAGTTGTCGGCCTGCTCGTTTACGAGTAGAGCCGAACATCGCTCGGATACCGCCGGGATTCGATCGTCGTCTCGTCGAAGCTATAAGCTAAAGAGGAATAAAAGCATTAAAAAAAAAACAAAAAAACAAAAAAAAACATTTTTTCATTTGAGCATTCATCCAATCTCCTCACGATTCACTCAAATAAAAACAACATTAACAAGAGGTATGAATCATCGACTGTTGTTTTTCAGAGGACGCGAAATCACTCCTTGACGTCGTTATGCATCATCTCCCATCACCCGTTCTTTTCGATGTTCCGTGAATGCCTTTTCGTTTTGAAGAAGATCATCGACGCGTGCAACGAAAGTTCCTCGCCGCAGAAAGTGGGGGCTTCCAGGCAGACCAACAGGTATTTGAGTGGTTATTCGAGCTAGATCATTAGGAGATTGGTATGCTTGGTCACGGTCATGAAGACTGTACAAGGAGATCCAACTCCCTAAGAAAGTTAATAGAAAATTTTTAGCAAAATCCCGAACTTGAAGTTATGAAAATTTCGTCCACTCGCGGCGCAAGTGTGCACAGACTACGATATATATATATATATATTATCTATTAATATATAGATGATAGCGCCTCAAAAAATTCATATGTATTTTGCAATAACAAATGTACTGGCGGTCAAGTGCAGGGCAATCTAAAGATTATCTGTAGATAAATTGTATACAAATGTATATCGTAGTCTGTGCTCACTTGAGCCGCGAGTGGTAGAAATATTCATAACTTCAAGCTCGGGATTTTGATAACAGTTTTCTAGTAACTTTCTTAGGGAGTTGGATCATCTTATACAGTCTTCATGGTCACAGTATAGGTACAACCACTAGCGTCACTTCGTGTCGGCACCTTTGATGTTGCTGTCCGAGGTCCGCCATGTTCCTGGTATGCACCGCGCGCATATTTAAACTGAAAGAAAAAGAAAGGCAATTGTAAACGGTATGTATAAAACACTGAACAAGTGCCGGAATTTTAAAAATATAGTGTTTTAGTAAAAAAAAACATTCTATTCATATTTTTCTATAAAAGAAAAATATATTTTATAGATTGTAAAAATAATATTCAGATTCCTAAGTAACACAAATTCAAAGTTTAAAATATTACAAATTTATAAGTATAACATAACAGTAATGCGAGTAATCATATGAAATTAAGTGAAAAATGAAAGTAATAATATTACATGGATGTTGTAATAATTTTGTACTTCTAATACGTACCATTTTTTTATTTTATTTATAATCAACGTGGTTACACTTAGATTATCTACAATTGAAATATGCACAATATTTCAAGTTACATTGTAATTTCTTGATTAATAATTCAAACATTTCCTGGAAAAATTTACGACTTATAATTTAAAGTATTCGTCTTACATGGAAAATTCATTTCTGTGAATGACGTGTAACGCTGCGCGTGGTGTCGGTTGCTATTAGTACCATTTAGTGTACAATATAGGAAATAGCGTCGTCGCCATGTTCTTGGTATGCACATTTCCGGACGCTAATTTTGCCAAGTGACGGTACTGGTTGTACTTATACTGTGGCGTGGTCTTTTTCATCCGAGTACTTCTTTTGGAAGGATAAGCGAAATTTTAAAGGTGTACTCTCTGTATGAATTCTTCAAGCACTGTCCTATGATCCGGGACGAGAATTTTTGCTCTTTATTCGGAATACAATTTGTTCGATTCAAGCTAATTTACTGCTACAACATCGTGAAAGGCGTGTCTGCTCGTTTTCATTGAAGCTTTTCTATGGAAGAATAATTAAAATTCTAAAGGGTTACTCTCTGTATGAATTCTTCAGGCACAATATTCTTTCTTTTTTTATTCAGAATAAAATGTACTCAATTCTGAAATTATATCTATTATTATTATTATTATTGTTATTATAATTAAACGATGAATATTCCAGCGCATTTTCGTTCTTCAAAATAAGATTTCATCAGTCCTGGACTCATAACTATTTATTCAATCAAATAGTGAATATTCCGGTATATTAGAACTATGTTGATTGAATAAAATAAGGAACTTCATAAAATTTGTTCAATCTTGTACTCGTAACTATTTATATAATTAAATAGTGAATATTCCAGGGTACTAAAGAAACTTTTTTGAATTTATGAAATAGAGACACGGTGTGGAGTGTCCTGACAGGCCAAGTATTCGAGGGAACGCCGTCAATAGTGGTCCACGACGTGAGGGAAATCGAGACGTGGATATTGCGTTTGCTGAGCAGTCCTGTCCCGGTTCCCACAAAGACACGCGTAGAGGTCGAAATCGTGTCGCAAAGTATGCAGCCACCACTCTGTTTTGCACTCCCAGATCACACTAGATTTTCTCTCGTTGATTTCCCTCTGCATCTACCCCTGGAACTTCTTGGCGTTGACATATGTTTGAAGGTCCTCACGTTGATTCTCTTGGAGCACAAGGTAAGGCAAACAAACTTCTACATATACAGGGTGTCCCAAAAGTCGGGGAGGAGCCGGAAATGGGGGATAGCTGAGACGATTCTGAACAACAATTTCCTTTGCAAAAATGTCGGATGGGGCTTCGTCAAGGAGATATTAAGAGAAAACCTCGATCAATCAGAGCGCGCGTAGACCCTTTGAGCAGCTGCGGTAGCGAAGGCTACGCGCTGGCGGCCGCGCTTGTATGCGGACAAGTAACTCGACGTGCAACGAAGGATATTGACGCTGCCGCCTAGCGCGTAGCCTTCCCTACCGCGGCCGCTCGAACGGTCTACGCGCGCTCTGATTGGTCGGGGTTTTCTCTTAATATCTCCTTGACGAAGCCCCATCCGACATTTTTGCAAAGGAAATTGTTGTTCAGATTCGGCTCAGCTACCCTTCATTGCCGGCTCCTCCCCGACTTTTGGGACACCCTGTATGTACACGCTTACAGATACATATTGATTAGTAGACATTACGTATTTGTGTCGACATAGGAGATTCCAAAATCTATCGCATCAACAAATTCATTCATGCAATACCTTCATATTAATTAGATGACACTGAGATAAGAGAAAAACGGAGTTCAAAGCCACGAATTTAATTTATTCAGTCGATATTCCAGTCACTTGTACCGTGGGCTCTGTGGGATTTTTTTTTTCAAAGAAAGAGTTAGTTGAATCCAGAAAAAAATTGCTGTTGCACAAATAATTTCGCCTCTAATATACCGGTTGAGAGTTAATCCTATTTAGAGTTATCCTAAATATTTTCTGAGAATCTTCTATACCTATTTCTAGCATTGAAATTAATAAGTTAACCAGAGATGGGGGTATTCATATTCTTAAATATGAATATGAATAAATTCATATCACACAGATTTGTAAATATGAATAAATAGATGAATAAAAATAAAGCGTTATTCACATCTTTATTTATAATTAACTCTTCATTAAATAACGTTAATCACTTGCTTACATTGTTTACTATCCCACACAGAATCGTCTTCACTCCAACCAACTAGGTAATTACAAAGATTATGTAATTTATGCAAATAAAACAATCATTGTTGTTATTATTATAAGAAACATTATAGTTGCGTTAATAAACACGTATACGAAACTCTGGAATATGTGTAGGGTTATTTTCATTTTTTGATACACTAAGTTGGTAGGACTGTGGCTGGGGAGATGGCGCGGGAGTTCCGCTGGTGTGTACATTTTGATTGATTTTTGGTCGATCTGATGGAGATTTGAGTTTTATAGAATATTGTTAGTAGATTTTTTAGAGTTTAAGTAAGATTAGAAGAAAGATTAAGAAGAAAAAGTAAAAGAAAGATTAAGAAGAATTAGACCTAAGAGGAATCGCCCAAAAACTGGAAGAAATCACGAAACGGTATATCATAACCTAAATTAGGAAAGCCACATGGCTTCCAAAGTTTCTGGGAGCCTTATGACAACATAAGGCAACCAAACACTAAGGAGAATGAAGGAAAAGGACAAAGAAAGCGTCCACCCATCGGGTATGGGTGGAGCTGAGAGGGATAAATTAAAAAGAAAAATAGAGACAGCGAAGTAGGTGACTACAGGGAAATAACAAAAAAAATATTTCAAACAGAGAAAGAGGAATTACCGGAAGAGAATAAGAGAAAAGAGGTCTTGTACCCTGAGAGCCATAGGGCCACAGCGGTAGTAGATGCTGTTCTTAAAAAAAAAATCAAAGGTGAAAAGAAACCAAAACCTACTAGTAATTGCCAGAGCCGTAGCTAAAGCAAACTGTGGTGTTGTGAAGCTTAAGCCATCAGGATTTTACAAAGCTCAGATAGTTTTCAAGAATAAGGAGGATGCCAATATATTTGTGTTGAATAAGAAGTCCATCAAGGACTCTAGCATAGAGACTTATGTACCCAAATATGAAGTGGAAAGAAAAGGTATAGTAAGGGACTTTTGCGCTGAGTACGATGTCAGCGATATCGTACAATATGTCAAAGCCCCTTGCAAAATATTATTCGCAAAGCGGCTAAATAAAAAAGTGTTCGAGTCAAGCACCCAAACGTACGTTGGATGCCAAGTGACTCAGTTGTTGTCACATTTGAAGGGGACATGATCCCAGAATTCATCCAAGCGTATGAGCTTTATAATCTAAAAGTGAAACCGTTCATTGAACCAGTAAGAACATGTAACAACTGCTGTTATTACGGACACTCCAAAGGTAGGTCCAATAAGACACCCAGATGTAACAAGTGTGGAGAAAAAGAGCATTCGGCGGACAATGAATGCAAAATGGTAGAACACCTGGTATGCCTCCACTGTAAAGGGAATGACAAGACGTTTGACTATAACTGCAATGAATACAAATTTAACAAGGAATTACAAAATTATATAGTTTACAATAATGTAAGTATGTTTGAAGCTCGTCAAGTGATAGGAGAGCAATTTAAAAAGGGGCAAATAGTAAAGACTACAAATAACGAAATCAACCCAGATAGCACAGGGACGTCTTATGTACGTCCATAAGATGTCCGGTACTGGACGTTCGGGACGTCTAGATAATGTCCAAACGTCCCCTGAACGTCCTGTGAACGTCCCTGGAATGTCCCAGTTACATCGCAGGACGTCCCTGAGACGTTCGGCGTGGACATTCTATGTACGTCCCTGGGACGTCCAACGTGGACATTCCCAGAAAGTTCTCTGTAAAATTGAGATTTAAAAAAAAGTTAAATTTTAATTTTATATACTTCCTTTTATTTGTTGGTAGATTTTAGTTAACTGTATTTATTTCTTGTAACTGGATTCCATGAAAACGACGAACAAATCTTTCAATTTTTATTTACCTCCGGCGAGATTCGAGAACTCACGATTTTCGAACTACAACAACGCAACCTGCTTCCTCACTTACCCATAAACGCCTTTGATAAACCGACTCATATTTTAGACTTATATAGTGACTCGCATTAATATTCGGATACTTTTTAAAACACAATTCCTTCTTTTGAAATTGGTCTAAATGACTTGAACTTTTTTTTGAAAAGTTAGAAGAATTAATTTACTAGGCAATTCTGAATAGTTCCAAATATTACATACATATCACATCTCATATGTACAAAAAATATTGTTTTTCTAATATTGAATAAACATTTTGTTTTACATGTGCAAACATATATTCTCTTGCGAATATTAGATAAATATGTGTTTTATCTACGGAAAAAAATATTCTGTTGCGAATATTAAATAATGACTGTATACCCAGATAGCACAGGAATAGGAACGTCTTATGTACGTCCATGGAACGTCCGGTGCTGGACATTCCCAGACTGTTTTCTGTACGTTCTCTGTACGTCCATGGGACGTCCGGTGCTATCTGGGATAATAATATTAATTTAATAATAAAATTAATAATAATAATAAAAATAAATAATTAAATACAATTAATATTAATTAATTAATTAATATATATAAGTAGTATATATACATATATATATAATATATATTTATTAATATATATATTAATATTTATATATATATAATAATTAATTAATTAATTAATTAATATTAATTTACAATTGTAAATAGTGTATTTTATATTCGGAAAAAAATATTCTATTCTACATATTGAATAAATATTATATTATAAATAATATTTATTTTGTTTAAAAAAAAGTATTTTTCCCTAAATCTAGAAAGTTCAAAGCGGACATCCCTGGGTCGTACAAAATTTAAGTCCCATGGACGTTCGTAGGACGTTCCGGGCGAACGTCCCTGGGACGTACAGAATTTAGGTCCCATGGACGTTCGTAAGACGTTCCGGGCGAACGTCCGACAACGGACATCGGACGTTTGGACGTAAACTGGACATAAAATGAACGTCCGGTGCTATCTGGGAATAGACCAGAACCTATCCGAGTAACGAAAGAACAATTCCCTCCTCTGAGGGAGATTTGCGCAGAAGATTCTCTGAAGTTAAGAAGGGTAGGAGGAATAACTAAACCAGAAAATAAAGAAAATAAAGTCTGGAATAGAACCTCGGTCAAAACGTATGGTAGGCCAGCCATGATTAAAAGAAATGACACAAATTAAGATAAAATTGAAAATAAGAGTACTAAAGAACAAAGTAAAAAACTTGAAGTAGTAAAAGAGAGAAACAATGAATGGATAATTCATAACGGAGAATACGAAATTAAAAAAGAACGCTTCGGTATGGTATTGAAGAACAGTAATTTATCAATGCCATCCTGTAGCCTAGCGTCAGATAAGGGTTCAGCACCTATAACCGAAATGGGCAAACAAGGGATCACAAATAACCCAATAGAGAAAGAGAAACAATTAGATCAGGTAATAAGCACTGTAATCAACAGAGAGGAAATAACAAGTAAAAAGGATACAAACACACCAGTCAATAACTTTAAACGAGAAAATAGAATACGTATACCAGAAGAAACCGCTTCAACATCAACTGGCCAGCCTTCAGGCTTGTAGTTTGCTCCAGAAAAAGTAAAAGGAATAACTTTCTTTTCTCTTACTTAAGCAAAACCAGGGTACCAGTTGAATTTTAGTCAAAGTATTCGCCTAAAAGTTATATTTGAGTAATTTAAAGTTAAATGACAAACAACGATAAGATAAACCTAAGAATTTGTCAATGGAATTGTAGAAGTATCAGAGGTAGGATATATGAGTTAGAAAGATACGCAGGTAATTGGGATATCATGCTTCTAACGGAAATATGGTTAAAACCAGACCAAACAACATTCCATGTAAAGGGATTTCAGACCACAAGGTTTGACAGAACCAATGGTAAGGAGGGTGCTACAGCCTTCCTGGTTAAAAATAATAGTAATTATAAAGTAGTTAATTTAGGCCTTAGACTTAATTCATTGGAGATTGGATCCATTTCGGTCTCATCATCCAAAGGAGACCTTCTGATTACAGCATGCTACAGATCCCCAAATAGGGGGAATAACTTAACAGCTAGCGAATGGACAATATTTT